AACCTTTGACAAGGACATATAGCTGTGCACTGTCGTCTACGGTTGACACACCCTGGGTCAGGGTCGACGCCCTGCGTTTCGTAGATATATACGGCTTCGCCGTCTCCTCTCTGTAACGGTTTCACGTTTCATCGAGACCAGTGTAAACACGCACTTTGCGTCGCCCAGTGTCCCCACTTCCTGCTCCATCAGAGCCTTGATATTATTAATATCATCCGATGAAGAGCTGCTAATTTCGCAGTCTTCGTCCATTGGATATTGTGCCACCCCACGCGCATCAGAAGGGTCTTGCCCATGGTGCCTCGGACACTTTCCGTCCATGCCACTCTTGGTATGCAGCAACTGCTTTTAAACGTGAGCAGTGCTCAGTGGATTACGTGCTATTCCACGCGCATCACTAGGGCCTCGTCCTTGATGCCTTCGACCCCGTCCGAACATGTCACTGTTGGCGCCTAGCAAATGCTTCGTAACGTGAGCAGTGCTCAGTGGTTTACGTGCCACTCCACGTGCATCACTAGGGCCTCGCCCTCGATGCCTCGGCCCTCGGTCAACCATGCCACGCATGACATGCAGCGACTGCTCCAACACTTAAGCAGCGCTCAGTGGGTCATGTGCCACCCCACGTTCAGCCCGCAAGCCACACTCGGGACTCCTGTCCAAAACACCTTTGGTGTTTGACAACTTGGATACTCCGATACGTAGATCATAGACCGTCCCAGTCCAGCGCCCGCGCCAATATCGCTTTTGATTCCTAGCAGAGGTGGGTTCATGACTCACCAAAGCTCCTTCAGGAGACGTGCGCGTAGCGCCCAAGGTCTTCGACTTCCAAGCAAATCATGGCTCATGATGGTTCAGCCGTGCCATTCCTAGGATAAGGTCATACCTTGCATCTAAATCTAAGACTAAGCAGCGTTCCGCGCTATCAACGTCAAGGAAGTCAACACCGAGGTCTACAGGGACCCTCAGGACAGTAACACAAGTCTTCGTCGTTAAGCGAACAGTGACGGTGTCACTCAACCGCGCTTTCAGCGCCTTAGCATATAGCTGACTTCCTTCGATTGTGGAGCGTCGAACATAATTGCCCGACGCCCCGGAATCGATAAAAACTTTCCTTGGCTTCTTAAAGCCATTCACGATCGCATTTACGACCAGCAAGCCCGGCTTGCACACACGTTTCGTGTTCAAGAGCACGGAGCTCTTCGGGGCTAGGCCCTGCTGCCTTCTACCTCTTTGAGACACAGCAAAATGCAGTTCTTCTCCAGTAGGGTGCACCGCGTCTACTGGGTTTTCTCGTTTCCCTGCGATAAACCGACGCCCCGTGACGGGTGTCCCCACAGACAAAAAAGCGTCGGTTGCTCAAGCGCTGCTTGGCAGCTCGGAGCTATCCCTCCTCTTTCTCAGCATAGCTGAAACCCATTGGCTTAGACCCGCTCGACGAGCTTTGAGAGTGTGCATTCCAACCAAGTCATGTCGGTTTTATTTTGACTTCGGCATTCAGTGCCACGTTTACTGCTTCTTCAAAAGAAAGCAGATGTACAGAGAAGACCTTCATTCTGGCCACGCCAGTGTGGAGGCCCTCCATAAAGACGGTTACTGTGACCGCCTCGTGGGGGGATCTGCTGCCATCCCGGCAATGAGAGTGGACAAAGTCAATCAAGTCTTTCTTGCCTTGACGGGCAGCAAGGATATACGATCGCATACAATATGTCTGATTAGGCGGCGAGAACACTTGCAAAAGCTGTCGCTCCCGCTCCTTCCACGAGGGGAACGCAGATTCAACCGAAGTACCGCACGATAGTGCTCATTATCGTGCTTGGCCCCCAAGCTTGGAGATAGATCGCGCCACTCGCTGTTGCTCGTTCTGGGCCATGGCGGATGCCATAGCCATTTCGGTCTCTCTTTCAAAGGCAGGAAACTCTCTCCATTCTAGCACCATGAGCGGCCTGGGCCAGAATGAATTATCCGTCGTCGGCGGTGCGTTATGGGCGTAGTCGACGCTGACAGCTTCTGCTGTAAGTGTTCTAACAGAGCACTTTTATAATCTGAAAACGCCTCAAGACGCGCGCTTATGACCTCGGACCCTAGCACAACAAGGTGCCCCACGCCCTCAGAGACCGGCAGGGACATCAGCATAATAAGCCCGTCCTGTATGCCCTAGGGCAAATAAGAGTATCTCTCCATCCTCACAGAGGATCAGTCGTAACGACTTTGACGTTAATTGACTGCGAGTGCTAACAAGTGCAGCGGGCTACCGTGGCTCTTTGATTAGAGGAAGCCAAGTTAATGTCACGAACCTTACGTTCTTTACAAGAACAAGTACGAGTGTAGCGGATCGCAATCCGCTGCCTCCAAGAGTACTTAAAACCTATGCCAAGGTAAGTGAATACCTCCTTTAAAATTTCCGACTGTATTTAATTGTTTTAGTTGCGGCAGAGCGACCAATATCTAAAGCCCTTGGTTTTCCTAAGTAACATAGTCTTACCTTATTGATATAGTAAAACCTAATCTAATTAATCTCACTACTGGCAATCCTGCCACGAAGTGGCTTCTTGTTACGGTGTAGCCACACTACTGTGTGATTACACCGACTTGAGTAATCCACACATATGTACGGTCACACCATCTTATGGATCCCGCCCTTCAAACCAAGGATACGTGTAACCCTGTTACAGCTTACACGAGTGCTAGGGTCTAAGTCTCGCCCGCTGGTTGATTCTGAGATAAACTCCCCTGTTAATATTCAGGAGCTGCTTGAATCCTGTATGTCCTCGTCAACATGCAATAACTTGGCTCTAGGCTGTCCGTGATTCATATAAGTTATGTATCGTAGCGCACAGCGAAGTAGTCAGCAAGTCTCTCACAAAAACTGGCAAGATAATCATTATTTTTACGAGGAAGTCTTCAAAGTAAGGTATAAGCCGGGTCGGCTAAATGGAGCAGTTGATGCGCTTTTGCGTCGCACCACTATGAACTGTCGCAAATCCAGACATCGCCAATTAGTAAAGCGGTACGTAGAGACCCCAAAATTCGGTAGAAAAAAACATAACTTGATGTACATCGAAGGGTGCGGTTGCACGCGTGCACCGTTAAGCCTTATTACATGGCATGCTGTATCACAGCACTAACCCACGTGACACTCAGTGTGTAGTGGTACCGCACGATAAGGACCTCAAGAACAGATTACAGTACAGGGCACAGGATACCCTTTTCTGTTGCCACCTCGGACTGCTCGCTGAGCGCTATGTGTTGGCGAACCAATATATAAGTGGTCAAGACGTATTAGCGCACACGTCAATCGTGACAATGGGCCAAACGCTCGCCACATGGATCAGCACATTTGGATAGCTTTTCGTTTCTGGATGATTGCTGACAACCCATAAGAATGTACTTAATTTTCGGGCTTCCAGAAAATGCGCTCAGTAATCTCAATTTTTAGGCATCTGTGAGCTGTCCAAACAAAACTATCTTAGAAAAGTGGAGCTCGCAGCCCGGATTTGTTGGTTTTAAATTGAAACATCAGCGGTGAGGAAGCTGTGCAAAATTGAATTATTTTTAAAGCGTCGTGTGTTTACGAACGGCTCGCGTCTGTCAAAAATGAGGCGGCAGTACGTAATGCCATTGAAGATATGAATACTATATCCGTAGGTCCTGCGACGATAAAAAACCGGTGCGATTGTCGAATGTTATTTGAACCTTCTTGTAAGCGAAGTCTATGTCATCGTTATATCGTACCTCGATTCAGCGTATGACGTCATCCTTGAAACGGCGTAGTTGAAGGGCATGAGTATTGGGTTGACTGAAAGTAGCACGCACTTCTTTTCTGGTGGAGCCTTGGCCAATCACAAACTCACTTCTTCTAGGGTAGCAAAGCGTTATTGGAGTGAGAACCAAGCTGCGATAACCCCCGTGTAGAACATGGAATTGTCAGAACTTATTAGCGATTGTAGTGCTGGAAGCCTGAAGTGGTAGTTAGCCACGGTCTCAGGGTGAGGCAAATAATAACCATTGTATGCCGCAGTCACCAGATGGTGTCTCTATTCAGACGGGAGATAGCAGCTGTGAGCCCCTAGTATACCTCTAGCAGAACTGTAAGCAGCAGCTATGACCTGTGCTAGGACCGGTGGAGCTGAAGGGCAACTGAAAGTCGCAAGTTCAAGGTCCAGACACGAAAGATATTGAGGATGATTACTTTCATTACGATGTGATGGTACTACTGAATCAGCAGTACCGTGTGGCGGACCCAACGCGCGGATTTCCGGGAGTAAGTGGCGGTTTTTTGTAAATGGAGATACCGGGGTTGTTCTAAGAGGTAAAAGTCTCTTCTTACTACCTTCAGAAGAAGCACTTTCAGCGCCGGATAGTTATTCTGTAGGATATTTGCAGATAGTCACAAGTCGGTGACAACACCAAATGATATGACTGATACAGAAGAGGTATATATCGTCCAATTTGAGTGAAATTGTCATCGAGGGTAATCACTTAGCACTGAGTGTGAGAAGCAGGACAGCTCCTCAAAAGATTGCTACGGATCCTTTCTAACTTGTGCCGACTGCTATTGCAGCCATGAATCCGGCGCAAACGTCGACTTCTAGAGAGAATGTCCTCCAAAACAGCGTACTTTGCTTTGCTTCATGCAGATAGAAGCAGATGAGCATGAACGCGTGATCGGGCTGCATCTCACCATAAAAATGATGCTGGACAGAGCTGTTATGCTCACTACAAGGAGCTGCTTGCAGTGGAGCATGACCTGTCATAGTTTAACACTTGCGTGAGCAGTAGTACTGGAGGTTTTGCGCTTGGGTAGGCTACTCATCAAAATAGACAAGTATGCCGTCGGTGCCCACAAAAGTCCTTTTATGGAATGCTACATTGGAAAGCGAGTTTGATGGATAAATGCCGCAAGGTTAAAGGCGGTTGTTGATTGGCTAGTGTCTCTGTCCGAAAAACATTTGAGAAAGTGGCTTGGTGAGGCCAACTGATTCCACAAAT